AACACAGAACAACCTGAACACTGTGCATACAACCAGGATGAGTTGTAATCTTTCTAAAACAAACCCTGCATGTTGTTTAAATCCATGCCCTCATATCTCATAATCGCAGTCAGCGGACCAGCTACCAGTTTGAGTAGGAGGATGAGTGGAGAAGGGAAGGTGGAGAGAAGAGACGGAAGAGGTAAAGAGAGTAAAAAGAAGATGAAAGACTGGTAGCAGGTTGTGTCCCTCAGAATAACGCGTCTTTTTATAATCACTGGGCATGAAATCTCAAAACACTGCCAAGTTCAGTTTATTTGTTTAGAAAAGTACACAAACAACTGCTGTGAGGGTTTTGTCCCAGCCCTGTAATCCAACTACCAGTACCTCTAGTTACCTCATCTGCATTGAGCTGTCCTTTCTTGCTGAATCGCGGAGGCATGTCCTTGGACTGGACCTGCTGCTGGGCCATGTGGTTCTGGTTCTGGTTCAGGAAATGCTGGTTCTGAACCTATCGAAAGTCACATGGGTATTAAGGACTACCAGAAGCAGGCAGGAAAGTTTCAACTTTGACCTCAGGACATGTTGAAGATTTGTAGTCAAATATCATTCACTGTCAGCCTGACTAGTATTAACTTCCACCGTTGGTAGAATTACCTGGTTGGACTTAACAAAAGACTTGGGCCCCATGTCAAACTGTGACTGTGGCTGAGGAGCAATGTGGCCACAGTGGCCGTTGAAGAGCGGGTTGGTGCGATGGCGACCCATTGTGGGCGAGTACCTATCCTGAATAACCCCTGGGCCAGTTCCAATCCCGCTGCCTAAGAGAACACAGTACAAAAATGTTCATAGTTAGTTAGTACAAAGCTTAGAGGACTTGGTCCCCAAAGGGAAAAAAAAGCAATATCCTAACAAAAGCCCAGTTAATGACCCCCCCCTGTCAACAAAGTCCATACCTGGCATCTGTCCAAACATGTCAGCCAATCCCCCGAGAGTCTCCCTGTCCAGTTTCATTCTGTTGGGCATGAAGGGGCTTTCCAGGAAGAAATCCATCCTAATCCCCTGAGACATGGGTGCTGGAATGAAAACGCCCAAATCCTACAACACCCAGATGAGAGCTGGTGTCATTAACAACATGATTACACATCTTATTGTTCTACATTTACCTTTCACACATGTATACCTCGACCTCTGCTGTCACAGTATTAATCATCCCAAAATGCAGGTAATCTAAACAATGAGCACCATAATTTCGGTGGACTCACTTTCACTGCATCCTGACGGATCTGGTTAATTGTCTTTGGTCCATTATCAATGAAAGCCTTGCGGGGGACCCAGTTGTTTTCTCGCAGTTCCACTGTGTCTTGCAGCAGGAAGCGGATCCTGGCAGGCAACTCCTTGTTGTTCATTAAGGATCGCATACGGCCAAAGTACTGATCCATTAAAGACTGGAGAAAAGATGAGAAGAGGGTGGGAGTGAGCAATGGCATAGCTTGTACATAATGGCAGCAGGATTTACACAGCATTGGCTGTGAGCAGGGGAGCATTAGGTGAGGCTGTGTCCAGGCAGATGGTGAGCTAAGCCAGGACCTGAAAGACACGGCTCACCCTGGCAGGCCCACAAAGAAGCCAGTAGAATAAAGGGGTGGGAGGGGGGCAACAAACACAAATCCCCAGTGCAGAATGTATGTTTGATTTATATCTAGCATTCTTATATTTTAATGGCAAAACATTTTTACCCAAGGTTTTAGTTTTATTTTTGCATGGAGCAAAAGTAAGTATCACAGATTTTTGCAAGACGTGCTATCGAGTGTTGAGTGTCACACTGTGTTCCACAGACCCCCTGGTGTTACTACCTCTAAAACCACATACAGCCTCTCCACAAGGATACGGTTTACTGAGAGCCATAAAAGGCTGGAGCTGTTACCTTCGCTTTCTCATGGTCGAGTCTCGGCCCCACTGTTCTCATTATCTGACAGAGGCACTCCAGATCCTCCCCCATATCTTTGAGCTGGACTCTCTTCTTCTTTTCCAGAAGCTTCAGACATGATTGAGAAACAGAAAGCAGTGAATCATACAAGGTATTTGACTCAGATTGAATGAAGGTTCTCTTAGGGTTGTCCCAAATCCAGAATGTCTTTTTTGTACTACATTTCCATCCCTGATGTGACAACGACTGATAGTTTTACCTGTGAAGACATCTCACTTTGTTTGAGTTGTCAGAACAACAGAGAAGCACTCAGCTCACACTGATTACTCAGTGGTATTACAGAGTGATGCCTCTTTACCTCAAACGATCTTCGGCTGTCAGCAGACAGTGTTTGTTTGTCCACTGGCTGCAGTGAGGTCACAAACCCGACAGCAATCACTTTCATTTTGGCCTCTCTCGAATATACAAATACTAAAATAGAAAACCGATTACCTACTCAACAAACGAATAACCAAATGGTTGGATATTCAGGTCCAACCCCAATTTCTTTTCATCCTCTCTGACAGTCTTGCACAAAACAGTGACTCCAAACAATCAAGAGATGTTAATTTCAAACAGAAAAAAAAATGCATGCACATACTGTTTTGATGCACTTATGAAGGATAGATTCATGGATGAGGTCAAGTTTGCCAAGTTCCCCGATGAATTTAATGTTGCCAAGCATCTTGATCTTGGCAATGGCACGCTGCTCCTCCTCCTCAGAAGTAAGAGGGTTGTCATGTTTGTCATAGACTGGAGTAAAAAAGGCAGCAATACAGTCAGTAGACACACTATAGTGAAGTGTATAACATTATACCTCTTACAAGACGCACAAAGACGGGGACTTACTTTCAACATTTCTGGTGCGGTTTTCAAATTCATCTTGAAGCTTGGAAATCAGCAGTCTTCTGAAGGTCTACGGTAAATAATAATAAAATATACATAATGTGCTAAAGAACTAACATTTTTCATTTGATTTTCACAGGTAAAAACAAGGTGGATAAGAAAATCTAGATCAGAGTGGTGCCGATAGCTAAATTATGGCAAATCTGGCACCAAATATACTGGAAGATTAAGTGTATTTATGTGTCCAGTAGAAGATGAACAGATACACTTACTGTGCTCTGCTTTTGGGATGTTTGGATCTCAGATGAAGGGCCATCAAAGTTTGGTGCGTCCTCTGCCAAGCGCAGACATAGCTGAGCATAGAGCGAGCTATACTTCGGCTCTTCTAGGGCTTTGTCTACAATCTGAAGCACAGAGAGGGAGGACACAAGGGAGAAACCAGAGAGGGACGCTTAGGCCAATAAACCATGCAGAGTATGAGTCATTCAGAGAAGCCTGCCAACTAGAGAAGAATGTATTTACATTTAGCAGAGTATGAAAAAATAACTATACAACTCACCAGCAAGATGATTCCTTTAAGGACGAGTTTTGAATCTACGCCCACGTTCAGGAGCTCAAGGCATAGCTTGTCAAACTTCTCAGGCGTGAGTTTGTTGAGTATGCTACATAATAAAGACAGGAGGGCAGGAAGTGGGGGGAGGAAGCAAGAGTAGGTGGTCAGCATGACTGCAAGATCAAGATGTTGGCATGATGCGACATTATCAAAGAAGATTTTTCCCGTACATTTAGCTGCACATGAAAGTGTGCAAGTCTTATGTTTTAAGTTCCTATAGAAGTCAAGACAATCCATCAACCAACTTCACTGCCTAAGCACTCATTGATACATGTGGAACAAGCAGCAGAATGATTTGTTTTGTTATAACTGACTGCAATGGAGCCAATTAATGATTTACAAACCCACAGGTTTTGTTTACTACATCTCATTATACACAACATTTCTCATCTTTTACTATATTTGTTCTTAGTGCAGAGAATTCTATCAATCAGTGTGAGTTTATTTTTGCAAGACAGCAAATTGTGCCCAGGATATTGTCAGAAATCAGCACCTGTCTGGTCTAAAGCTGGCTTCTTGTACATGAAGTTAACATGCAGCAGATTACTCTTCTCCAATCTCAGACTACAGAGTCAAAGCCTGCCTTCTGTGGTGGCCATCTGCAAGCCAAAGTTCCCCTGAGAAACACAATAATCTCTTCATGATTTGTACATGTAATCATCACCTGACAACGGAGGAACAGGGCTCAAGTGCCTTTAGCAAAGCACTGCAGAAGTACACAAGTCAGCAGTAAGGCCATACAAAACTCACAGAAAGAAAGAAACACATGATAAACATCCTAAACCTCTGATATGAACTTTGCCAATGGAAAGAATGGAAAAGGAGCCATCTGGGAGGAGGGAGCTGAAATTTTGACAGGAATTATACATTTGCTTTAACTGACCTGACCTCAAGTCCTGTATCCTTTGGCCAAGAAACTATTCCAGTTTTCAAAATTATAGTTTTTTTTTTTTTCATTTACTGGTACAAGAGAAACTACTGCACAAGACTTGACATGAAGTTGAGCAGGAGGTAGCAAAAACGTCCCCAATGCCTCATAGAGATGGATAATCAACTCTTCAAGCATGCAGAGGGGCTTCAAACCTACCCCCTCACTTTCCTGAAGATTGCATCGTGTCGCTCTTTTTCATTGCTGGAGTTGACATCTCGTCTAGTGCTTCGTGAAGGAACCCATCTTTGAACGCTTTGCCCTGGGGTTTTCCCCAGGAACTCGCTGGAGAAGTAGAGAAAGAGGCTCAGGTTTGGGATATAGGGCAGCCAAAACAATATTTATTGTTTATATTTATGAAAAGAGTAAGCGCTCTGTCGCCACGGTCAGCCTTTAACAGTTTCCTCCTTTTTTACCCTTTGTTGTAAAATGCCAGACGACTTGCATGCACTATCTGCAGTTGACTGACATGTTACAGGACTTCTGGGTATTCAGATCAGTTTCCAGGAATTTAAGTGCACTAACCAATAAAGTTGTCTAGTGCACTTTTTGTGCAGTGGAGGAAACTATTAACAATAGTCCTGGGTGCCACAGTATTATAATTTAAATCCTTATACATTAAATGTGCTCCAGAAAAATGCTAAGGGACAAACCTGTTGCCGACAGTCTTGGGATAGTGCTGAGGTGCACCCCTACCACCTCCTCCCCCCGATGAAGCACTGCAGACGCAAACACAAAGAGGGGAACACAATAAGGAGATTGAATGAGTGTGTACCTTCAAATCATAGGAAGCAATTATAACTGTACTGCTTATTCATTCAATCTTCATTTGCACTGGAAAAAACAGGGCAACAAGAGCCCTCACTTTCAAGGTGAAATAAATTTACATATTGAACATCCCAAAGATGCGCAACTTACAATACAATGAACTACAAAAATATAAAGTGCCTCTATTACAGGACTACAACATGTATTATTAATCACTGTATTTAAGAATTTAGGTTTTATAACTGCAGAAAGAGTAAGATTAAACCTCTGAGTAAAAAAAAGCACTGAGTTAAAAAATAATTTGATAGTAGAAAGTGAGTTGAAGTAATAGCTTGGCCTAGCCAATTAAACACTGCATTTTCAAGTGACTGTCACAATCAGTTGTTGTAGAGACAGAGATGCAGCTTCCAAACTAACAATGTGCGCCTTCACAAGGAGCAAAGCCAAGTGCAGTGCTTCTAACGCACCGCTGAGTCAGCTCAGTGCAAAAAGTATGGGATGGTGACACGTAGCCTCGGTTTGGTCAACAATCGGCTGTGCATCACACTTCTGCGGTTTACATTCATCTTTTACTTTGGTTCTTTGTTTTGGTTACTTCCACTGCACAGTGGTGAGGTTTATTCAGATGAAACATTTTCTTCTTCAACAAGGTTAGTTTTCTCATTTTGGCAACATTATTTGTTTGTTTGTATGTTGGTTCAAATCTTCAGGTCTATTCTAGTCATTTCCTCTGAACAATTGCTGATGAATAGGGATTAAACTACCACTACAAATTTTAAATATCATTAAAACTGTGGCTGATTAACACGCTTTGAAAAACTTGCCCACTAAAGGGTTAAATAATACTCAGGATCAAGTTGGCTAGAGGATCTCACGCACACACGCAGTATGCAGTGTGGGTTTGTTTGAGTCAGTGAAAACATGGCGGAATGCAGTGACTACTCTCAGGAGATTTTTTCATCCATCTAAGAAGACTAAGTCCAAAGTGTGGGCATATTTAGGTTTTTACTAGAGTCCTGAGGGAGACTTATAATAATTGAGGATGTTACCCTGCCTGTAGAACATTCAGAAATAAAAATTGCTGTTATGAAATCCTTTGAGTCAGCTCTGTGACCATCATGCCCCATTGTAAGTTAACTTTTAGCTCATACATGATGTGAGGACTTCAGAATGGAGCAAAGAGCTTGTCATTAAGCTTTTAGTGTTGCCTAGCCTTGTAAAAACACTTCACGTTGTTCTGCTGCTGTATGTATCGTGACTATTAGCCCACTGCACACAATAACACGTTACATAGTGTAGTCACCCAACCAACATATTTTCTTAATATATAGTAACATGCTGTTCATCTGACCGTGTCCCTTCTGCTCGAACTCTTCCCAGCAGCAGTATGTTGGCTGCTGCCCTCCTCCTACATCTCTCTCTTCCTGACCCTCTCTTGCTGCTTCAGCAGCACTGCTTGAAACCAATAAATATTCGGAACAAACCAAATGGATTGCTAATCGCACTGGTCAGACTGATGAGCTTTGCCACATGTGTTTTTCAATATTCCCCTGGACTGAGGGGACAAACATTCAGCATCAAAGTTTGTGAACTTGCATCACCTTTATCCACTCGCATAGCGGTCCTTATACATCCGTGCTATATAGAGCATGCTGACCTCAGCAACAGCTGTGTTCTAACGTTAGCTTACTAGTTTGCTAATAACATATTAGATTTGCATGAATGACAGTGTTGTGTTAAAAAAAACAAACACAAAGAGGAAGAGCTGTTCAATGAGGATGTGATGTGTGTTTATGTCAGAGAAACAAAGCAGGGCACAGAGGGACTGAGCAAATATATGTGCTATGCACGGCACTACCCTGAAATGACATTTAACCTATTTTAAATCAAACATGTGGTGGTCAATGTTGATATTATGGCAGCCCGCCACATATCAGTCAATGTATGGGAAACGCTGAACTGCACTATATAAATACAATAGGCTAATTATTATCTCCACAGCTTTATATTGCTTAACATTTCCCCAAAAACTTGTGCTGTAAATATAAATGATTACAGATAACAGGTTAACAATCACTATTAGTTTTCAGTCATGATGTTAGACCTCTAACTGGAGAAAACATCACTTAAATGGTCATATTTGCTGCACTATGGCTAAGCAACATGCACAGTTGCAGGTGCAGTGAAAGAGCAGACACTGACTGCTCTACTGCTGCTGTTTGATCATAGATGTTAGTCTACTAATGCTCAAATTATCACAACAGTACGAGGAACTGCAAGCCAACACCATAATGGCTGCTGACTGGGATTGATCAATTGTATACTTAGATGATCAACACGACCAATTCACCAACTAAAACAACATGAAAACTGAAAGGTCTGTAACACCTTTAGGCCATTTTGTCATATGGATTCTGGACAATGTATGAGAGTCAGGGTGAAGTCTGTCATGTCCAGACCAACTGATTGTCTACACAAGTTCAGGGTTGCAGTGCATGCCTGTATTGGGCTTTAGATAGTACTTCATAAATCTGCAAACTTTAAATCATTGCTCCGACATTTAACATACAGTATTCCAGAGAATCTGAAGCTTCAATTGCAGCATAAAAAATGCTGTTAACAGTGACTTGTTATACTATGAAAGTGGGGCGAACTGTTATCATCGCTATACAGCCAACAGGACAGAAATTCTCCAATGGCTCATTAGGACCACCCAACCCCCTTTTCAAAAGGTTTCACAAAGAGAGGTATCTGACAGCCATTTTGAGCCTCCCCATATCCTGCTTTGTTCTAGAGGCCGGAAGTCCCTGCCCAAAATGCTAGCAAAGGGCTAACCATAGAGTAAAAAAGTATCCTCATGTTGGTATTTGATATACAATCTTTGGTTTGTTACCTGAAACGAGAAGCACCCCCTTCTGCAATCACACTCTCCACTTTGGCGGCTTGACAATGAAGAATACTCAAAAGAATAAGAATAATAGGAGGGGATGGGGAAAACGGTGCTGGGAAAGAGAAAATGAAATGCAATTAGTTCTACATGAGGGTTGGGAAAAACAAGACACAACCACAGAATACACAATGACCTATAACTTAATTAAACGGACAATCAGGACACTATGGGTTAGCCAACCTAGCATTATTACCGTTTGCTCAGTAACCAAGTCTTTGTTATAGGCCAAATCACAAACAAAATATTAATATCTAAGCAAGCTCGTTGCTAAGGTGAATCATAAACATAACAGAGTACACAATTCAAACGTTTACGAACAGTGCTGAGGAGTTTGTTTGACACGATGAAAAAAAAAATTCAAATAGCAGAACGGAGGCGTCTGCGCTGGTCTTTTCTAGGCTACAACAATGCAAAGATGCTCCAGCTAGCCGGCTAACGCTCCCCGCTAATGATACCTAATATCCTTGCTAGGTTGCTAAATCCACAAGTGAACTAACGTTACATCACGACATTGGTAGGTGTCTACCACATTTGGGTCAATTGTTTTATGCAGGTTACAAAATGTTTAGCCTGTTGTGTAATCTTATGTGAAAAGAACTATTGCAGCTACACAAAATATCACTGCAGTTACATAGAAATAGCGTTAATTTTACTGTTTAGAGATGCTTTGTCATTGCGTTGGACAGAAAACAGGACCAGCCTGCATTCATAACATTATTGCTATAGTATAATGCAGTGAAATTGATCAGGACAGCGTGGTTAGCCGCTAACGTTTCCAGGCGAATGTGTTTATATCGACATCCCACCATGACTGAGACATGACAAAGATTTAAGGCCAAGAAAGCTGGCCCAAAATTCAGTGTAAATGACCATAATACCTCGTCAAATTAAATTAATTTTAAACACTGTATTACTACGCTTATTTTCCTATACGGACTTGTTAGTGTAGCTAGGGGACGACGCCATTTTCTACCTGAATGTAAATCAGATGAACCATCGCTAAGCTAGGCTATCTACCGGCTGCTAAGCTAATGCTATTGTTAGCTTATGCAAGCGAGCTACTGTTGGACGTTAGTATTTTAGCTTGTTAGCTACTAGAAGCCATTTTGGGTGAACCGGTGCGGGTTTGTAAGGGAGAAAATTCTGCCTTACCTTTACCAAAGCAACTTCAGTTTTATATTGTTGTGTGACTACCAAACAAGAAAAAAGACAACTGTAAAACAAAAACGGGTTTTGCGACGAATATCAAGAGAGCTTAAAAGCAGAAAGATGACAGCACAACAGACACAAATCAACACTGGTTGTTTTCGTTAGCTAGCTGGCAGAAAGCTCCAAAGATTGCTGCCTTATGGGGGCATAAAAGTAACCAATTTGCATTGGTCGCGTAATTTGTTTCCATGCCAATGCTGGCCAATCAAAACAAAGATATGCTTTAAGGCGTTTCTAGTAGCAGAAATAATCCAATGAGAGGCATCCTGAAAACAGAAAGACCGCCTCCTTTAGTTGATTGACAGTTTCAACATCTGCAGTGAATGAGAAGATTTTGGTTATTTGCTCAATGCAATGGACAAACGATTAAATTACTGTAAAGTCAAATAAACAAATAAAAGAACACACACATTCTTAGAAGTAAAGACATGTGGATATAATGCATTCCGGATGTATAGATAAATACATCCCTACTAATATTTATGATATTAGTATATAATTCATTCTATTTTAATTTTCATCCTTTAAAATGAAGCAAATTATAATACACTGCTTACAAAACATTTTTTTGTCATTGTCACTTGTTTTCCTTGTTTACAGAACTCTCTAGGAATATGTATCATAAATAACAGCAATGATAACTCAAGAAAATTATAATGTACTAGTTGAAACAAGTGTATTTGTATTGATACAGGTAAATTTATCTGGAATCTGTTTTTTAAGAAACAAATGTACTTAACTACACATACACATATCACATAGTATATATACTGTCCAGAGGTACTTAATGCCATAAAGGACATAAAATTGTGCAAAATATTATGCTCAAACTAAACTTGTTGATCCACGTCTTTGGCTTATTTTAGGTATTTCAATTCCGGGGGATTCATAATTGACATAAATCAGGTGCATAAGATAATAAAGTAGGTTTATTTCAAGTTACCAGTGTCCTTAAGTGATACTTGAGACAAGCTTATTTCTATGGTATGTTACTTCTGATGGATGAGTTAGTCACTTGAGCCCCATTACCCTCTGTTTTTGAGTTCATTCACCCTGCTACCTGCAACTGCTGAAGAACAGACTCTCTCCACTGCAGTCACTGTCCAGTCTTGAACAGTTATAACTGACTTCATATTCATGTCACCCAGCTGTCTTTGGAGCTACATTAGTCCAGGCCAAGGGTGAACCGCTGCACATCACTCAGTCTGCTGAGAAGGGCATGGGTCATGACCTCATCTTCTCCATGCAGCCAGAAAAATAACTGGGGACCTCCATCATCCTAGACACCACAAAACGTCCACTGACACTTCCAGTTAATAAGCCCACCACTTCTTCATCTTTCCTGTGGAACAGCTGCCAAAGAAGCATGTTCCCACAAAAGCAGAAGCAGCGAGAACTAAAATGGTTTTGTGGGATCATCTGAACATACTATTCAGTAATTAATCTTTAAGATTAAATTGACTGTCATTCAGTGTAGACATATCAAGATTATAGCAGCTTTGGGGAAATGTGTCTAAAATTCAAATTGCAGCAAACATAACTGACAGGATTTTGTTATGGTGGATCAGGATCTTATATGGAAGAAAATTGTACTGACCACTGACTTTACTCTGTGTATTGTATATTTATTATTGTTTTTTGGCAGTGTCATAGACAAAGGGTGATTGTACCTGGAGGAGGTGACATGGTTTTTACTAATGCAACTACTTATCACTGGCCTATAACTTAAGGGTGCACACAAAAACACAAATACAAAAAACAAAATAATGAAATCAGTTAAATATCTCTACAGCTAATGCAACATTTGTGAGTAAATCCTATCCACTAGGGATTGGATGTAGCCAGTAAAAATATATACACCTTTAGTGGTACTGTCTTCCATTATTTTATCCATATAAACTTCACAAATGTATGAAGGTGTTATTGGTGAAAATGCATTAGAGAAATACCTCATGGCACTCCTTTCCACCCTGTAGGAATTTCATTTTAATCAAAATTATAATACACTAATACTACACTTAATAACACAAGAAAAGCAGTTAAAAAGCAAAGAAAACAGAATTTATGGACACTTCATACAATCAGTGTTCTGATGTTTAAGTTTGGACTAAGAAGCATTTGTATGTGCTTATATAGAGGTGGAAAGTAACTAAGTACATTTACTCAAGTAATGTATTCAAGTACCATTTTGATGTATCTGTAACTGAGTATTATCATTTTCTGCTACTTGATTCTTCAACTTCACTCCATTGTAGAGACAAATATTGCACATTTTACTTCACTACATTTATTTAGTTATTAATTAGTTTCAGAATTACTTTAACTAAACAATACATAAGTCTAATCATAATAATTTATTGATCCCTGGTAGGAAAAATTCACAAGCCACAGTATGACGATTCTACTTAAATGTAGTTCAGTCAATTGTCCACTAGAGGGTAGAATGAGCCCTCTAGTTGAATTGAAAGATGTCAAAATGGTTCATGGACGTTTGCTGCTCTCAGTCTGTTCTCTATTAGGATCCATTTTCAGTCCAGGTGTGTCCTGATTCCCTATCACCACCGCTGATTTAAAATCCTGCACACAAAATAAAATGATGTGTTATGCTGTTCTTCCTAACCTCTTTCACTCTCTGGCAGGTTATCTCTTGATAAGCTGCAGGAGAAATATAACACAGGCCAGGCTCTGGTTAAGCCCACACTTTCAGGTAATTTTCATAAGAGTCAACATTCACAATGAATCAGCCATTGACAGGAAAGTCATCAAATAAAAACGCAAAACCGGACAGCCTGTCAGGGCCGCTCGGCGGCCGCCGCCCCTCCTCC